TATATTTAATTGTTGTTTTATAAAATATAAATTTTTGATTTTTTATATTGTATATTTTTATATTTGGTATTTACTAGGCTTTGGAAATACCGGCAGATTTGTCAAAGGATGGCGAAGCGGAGCGAGTTTTCAAAGAAACTATTAATACATTCAAACGATTGGATGTTTTGGTGAATAACGCCGGCGACTATATTAAGGCCAACGCAACCGATGATAACATTGTAGATGTTTTAGACGCTAGTGACTTTCACCTGCAGTTCCGTAGCGAATGAGAGTAGGCTGAGAAACTTGGTATAGAATTTGTTTCGTTTCCTTTACAACAGTTGTAATGCAGTCACAAATGCCTCGCTGGCCATTTCGCAATATCAAATTAACCATTTATTTAAATAAAAATGTTTTTACTTTTTATACATTTAGCAAAAATCCTTTTTGGGATATCAATTGGCGAGACAAGCACTGGAAATGTGCACAACTACACTGGCATTAGAGTTGGCCCCACACGGCATTCGTGTTAATAGTGTTAGGTATATATGGATTTAATAATTAATATGGTAAATGATGAACTAATTTTAATGAATAAATGCAAATAACAGCATAGGAATTGTGCGATCATACGAAGCACATCCCGATCCCGTTGTTATTAAAGCTTTTGAAAACGCCGCCAAATATACACCACTGGGAAGAGTGGGCACAACAGCCGATGTCGCCAAAGGGGTGGTATTCCTGTCCTCATCGGACGCCTCGTTCATAACGGGTCACAGTTTAGTCATTGACGGCGGCATTAAGTATAATATTGGCTCCGATTTTTGGTCATTGTGAATTTATTAAATTTTAACATTGTGCTTTAACTTTGTTTAAGTGGTAATACTTAAAATAAAATGTTTATAACTTAAAAACGAGTACATTATTTGTATCTATCTGTGCATTAGATGTATTTATTTTATATTCAGTAAAATATACACTATATTTTGTATTTTAAAATTTAATATAACACTTTATTTAATATTTTATTTCAAACATTAGTATTATTTATAGACAACATCTCTAGAAAAGTGTTATTTTAGTTGTTTAACTATACATAATTAATTTTATGCCTTATTATTTTCAATAAAATATACTGATTATGGGCGATAAGGTTTTGCTTATAAAGCACATAAGTAAAAATTATTTTTAAATAGAAAAATAATAAAAATTATTGTTATTTTACATATTTAAATAAAGTCTTGTCATTTATTAAATAGAATTAAAAATAAGTGGTTAATTGTAATGTAGCTGGGTATACACAAATAAATGATGGTGCATTAAATAAAATAATAATATTGTAAAATATATTATGGAATATTTTAGACAATAATGTCTCTTGTACATTTTAAAGCACCATTATGTACTATTTACTAATATGAAAAGCATCTGTTTTCTTATTTAGCCGACACATCAGTACTTGAAAACAGTAAACAAGTTTTGAATTTGTTAGGTAAATATGCGAGAAATGACTATGATCATTTAATCACTAAATAAATTCTGATATAGATTATATAAGAGGGTTAATAATATGGCAGAGATGTCAAGCAAACAAATTGAACGAAGGGCCAAATACTTGTCCACAATGGACCCAAACACCATATTTATGCACGATGGTAAATTATTTTTTAACAACCGGCGCAGTTTGGATTGGTTGCTGGCCATAAAGGACCTGACCGTTAGGCCAACAGACATATGGATATGCGGTTACCAGAAATCGGGCAACACTTGGCTCTCAGGGATTGTGTCATTAATAATGGCCGACGGAGTGGTCGACAGAGTGAAGGACGAGTACATTAGGGAACGGGTGCCCAATATATTCACTCCGACTACTTTGAGCAAAATATCGGGACTCAAACCACAAAGTGTTGAGTGGTTTGACGGCTTAAAAGATCCGCGAATTATTAATAGTCATTTGGATGTTAAACTTTCATCACGTTTTGAGAATTTTAAGTGATTTGACACTGTAACCTTTATC